TTCAGTCAACATGAGACAGTACTGTGTGCTGATTGTTGTCACTTTGTGCCCTTGCTGGGCCAAATGGGAGTCACCCGTAGGCCACATTTGGCCCGCGGGCCTTGAGTTTGACACATTTGACCTTGTAGATAAATGGCACACATATGAACAAAACATTTGACATCTTTCACCCTCAACTGTGAACAATAATGTTGATCAATAACATTCATAGACCTCAGTTAGTGCTTCTGAATTTAATCCATAAATTTAGCAAGTGCTAATCCACTAATGAATTTAAAAAATAGCAAAAACCCTAATGCACTAATCAAGAAATTAGTTCCCCTGTTAGTGCTTTAGTGCTTTAGGGGAACTGTGCCCACCAGTGGTTTTACCCTTACCATTTCAGTTTCAGCTCCTTTAATAAAGTTCAGTAGACATTCAGCACTCACATGATATTTTTTGCAGAGAATGCAGTTTCTTTAGTGAACAAATAATATTGATGTTTGTGAGAACTACGTCTTTAATGTAGTGTTATGTAATACCAACCTGAAACCAACGAGAATACTGATTGTACTGTGATTTTAACCCCAACAAAGTGATCCTTAAAGAGCTGTTAAAGCAAATTAAACCATTTCCATCATCTAGTTATTTTTTGAAGTTTTATGACATTGTCTTGTTTTTATGATGCACTGCACATTAAGATATCCCAAATAGCTCTTTACAAACCACCTTGCGGAGGCTAAAAATACTGCTTTGGCCTTGCCAAACTGTTTCAGCTTTGGAAATATTTGTAGATGCGAGAGAGAGAAAAAAAAGGGAACAAAATGTGTCTTTGTAACTGTAGCTAAAAATACATTTTGAACTTGGTTCGTTGCTATGCGTGGACACAACAGCCATTTGTTCACGGAGTTAAATTCCTTTTCTCTGCTTCAGTGATTCATAACTTAGTGCTAAGTGCCTTACAAAGATAACTCTGGAAATGGTCAGGCTAGAGACTGAAAATTTGTGAAAGAGTTGCTAATTTCTAAATAAAGAACCTTTAAAAAATAAAGGGCAATCCTATTTATCACTTCATAGTAATGAGAGGAGCTTCAAGACCTTTGTACAGTACTGTGTTTTATTATTTAGCTAAAGCTTTTTTGTACAATCTCAAATCAATCATTAGCAATTATTAGCTAAATGCTAAATGTGTACATTGAGTCAACTACACATTACAGAAAATAACAAACACTATAAAAAATACATCTAATCTTGCTTTAGTCCAGGTATGATAACATTTTCTACACATCATCCCAAGACTTGCTTGTATGAAATCATTATAAATATTTTTTTCTCATTGCACAAGTGTGTAAAATCTAACAAGTTTATTTCGTCAGGCTTACTCAAGTTCTGATCTTAGCAGCTATGATTCAAACACGTATCAAATTGAATTAAAGCTGCTCTTTTAAAGGTTGTTTAGTCATAACGAACAGAAAGTATTTGATAGTGCGTCAGYGTTTGTGAAAATGTGCGAAATCCTGCAGGGACATTCAAAAAAAGAAGAAAAAAAAGAAAGAAACACATATGAAAGGACACCCGGTGCTCATTTCTGTTTTCCTCCATTTGAACCATTCCTTTAATGAATCATTTAATTATATCAGTCCTTTAAAATAAAATAAAAAAAATTATGCTGGTTTTATTCACACAGTTTCCTCCCCTTTCCAGAAGGACACTTTTCCAGTTACATGAACTGAGTGTCACATCCCCCACCRGTAGAGCAGAAGGCGGTGTGGCAGAATGGTCATGTTGGAAAGTGGGGGGAGGCAGTGGACACCAATGAGCTCACGGCTACTTTGAGCAGTGATTCATGTAATTTACTACAATGTCTCACCAGGTTTTATTTTGGTGTTTACTTCTGTTATTTAAGACAGATCCTACATTGGAATTCAATGAGGTGTACTTAATTGTATTTTTTTTTTTACTTTTGTCATAATTAATACATTTAAATTCCCTATTAAAGACAGCCATTCTGGATTCCATCTTTCACAGTGTTGTGTTATTAGACCTGTACCTCTATRTGGGCTGGCAGTGAAGCAGAGAGAAACCACAGGCCAGACGTGGGCATTTCCGTAAATGCTAGAAATGTTACACTGCCTTAAATTGAACGCTGTAAATTAAGGGAAGGCTGCMGTGTGTTAAATGACTTACTGTAAATTGTGGAAAAGTTGCACAGACTAAAAGGGATTACCGGAAATGTGGGAAAAACTGCACAGTCAAAACTGAATCAACATAAATGCTAAAACTACACTGTCTAAAATAAAAATTAATTACTATAGCATGTGTGCAGGTAAATTATGTAT